AGTGCAGCCAGGCTGGTGATGATCTTTGTTCCAGAGACTACATAGGTCTGGAGATACATGATTGTTCAAGCTTTTACCCCCAGCCAGGCACATGCCCTACTGCCCACAAAGTGCCAGCTCACTTCACAACCGTCCCAGGCCAGCTCTGCATGTGCACGCATGCACGCGCGCACACACACACAGCCCAAGCTCTGCCAGAACCTGGCAGCCACTTCCAAATGCCCACCAAAAGGCACTCCACATCCTGGTAAAGAGTCAAGCAATAAATGGTGCTTATTTTCTGCATGCAAAGGACAAACATTCCATGCAGTGGAACGAAAAGCCACTACACCTTATCTAAACCAACTCAATCACTATCCAACATCACAGAGGCAGGCTTATCAGAACAGGTACAATCAGATGCTCCAGATGGGGTACTCTGCTACCAGAATCTCTGCCTCCAACAGAGTCAGTCTAGCTCATGATCCCAGGCAAGACACATCTCCTTTGGGCCTCCTTTCCTCCTTTGTAAAAGAGTGCTGGACCCGATTTCCAAGTTTAGGAATAGAAGCATTTACCAAGAAATTCTGGTATCAGTTTTCACAAAGACTCAAGCAATAAAGCATTTTGGAAAAGCCCCACAAAACCACAGCTTCTCCAGAGAAGGGAGAAAGACTTTAAAATGAGAAACATATGACAATACAATAAGCAAATTGCTGATTTTTCTTCTTTTAAAGTCATCTGTAAGAAACAGTTTCTGCATGGTTACATAGAACTAGCTGAAGGCCGAGCAGGACCCCTTGCTAACCTTCAAGACTCCTTCAAAGTTGGGGCATCTTTCAGCTGGACAGTCCTGGCCCACGGCATTAATGACTAAGGAAATCAGTTCCTGGATTAGTTCCCTTGAAGGGATGATTATTATATTCCAGTTTTAATACCATAAAATTGTTACTCCTACAGCTCAGAAGGAATTACTGTGCATTCAAATTCACCTTCCTTAAAACATATCCTGATTCCAAGACCCTTTATCTCAACTGTTCATTTCTTTTGGAAAACTTTGCCTGTTTCTATCATTTGGGGGCGGGGGTTACCAGGGATCTAACTTGGGACCTTGTACCTGCAACGCAGGCAGCAGAACCACTGAGTTAAATCCGCCGCCCTGTTTCCATCACTTTTAAGAAGCTAACACTTGGTCTCAGGTCTTCTGTTTTGCTCTGTGACAAATGTTATGTATAAGATGTTCCCGTATGAGTATTCATGAGGTCAGTGAATTTCATGAAAGAATTTCAAGTGGGTCAATAACCTATATTAAACTGTACTTCCTTTTTTAAAAGATTGTCTGAACATAAAAAAAAGATGGACAGAAAAAAATATAGCAACTTTAGTGTACCTACCAATCACTCAGTCTGAGAAATAAAACAATGCTAAACAACCACAGAAGTCCCAGTACATTTCTCCCCATCTACACCCCATCTCCTCCCATCGGAGGTAACCACTACCCCAAATCCAAACCTGGTCACCCCACACAACTCCGCATCTCCCTGTGTAGCATATATTGTACTCCTATGATCTGTGGTACTGTTTCACTCAATCTTCTTCTTTTTTTTTTTTTTTTTTTTTTTTTTTTTTTTTTGGTACTGGGGCTTGAACTCAGGTCCTTGAGCGTGCAAGGTAGAAGCCGGAACCACTGAGCTAAACCCCTGGCCCTTACTCAATCTTCTTAATCCTCATATAAATGGTATCACTGTGTAACTTACTTCTTGTTCAATTTTATGTTTGTGACAGTCATCCACATGGATACACACAGCTCCAGATTCTTTATGTTCACTCCTGCATAACATTCTGTTACGGGAATAATATAAATATGCCACATATGTAGCCTAAAACACTGCCTAATGTTTCACATGGGCTGCCAGGGAGTGCTTACCTTTGTACCAGCCATTTTCAGGAACCCTCACAACCAGCCCAGGAGGAGAGTGAAAGTCCCACTAGACCAAACTGCAAACAGTATAGAGAGATGTAAAACTTGTTCAGCACCTGTGAGCAGTAGCCTCAGACTGCAAATCCAAGCCTGAAGTCACACTGCTAACTGTGAGCACTGTGGTCCCATTGATGTAGATTCTGCATTTAATTTTTTTTCAACAGGGAATTAAATCCTGGACCTTCACACTACTGTACCTCTAGCCCCCCCACCTTGTCTTTCATTTTACTTTGAGATATGGTCTTGCTAAGACACAAACCTCCTGCCTCAGCTTCCCAGAGTGCAAGGATCGCAGGGGTATGCCACTAAGCTAGATTAGGTTTTTTGTTTGTTGTGCTTTGCTTTGTTTTTATGAAAAAAACTGAGCTGTTGTAGTGCACACCTGCAGTCCCAGGGCTCTAAAGGCTGAAACATGAGTATCATAAGTTCAAGACCATCCTGGGCTACATAGTGAGACCCCGTCTCAAAGAAAGAAAATGGAACTAGCTGAACACACATCTGTAACCCTAGCCCTCCTAGAGGCAGAAGGATCACAATTTCAAGCCCAGCCTGAGAAACTTAGCAAAACCCAGTATCAAATTGGGGGTTTTTTTTGTGGGGGCAGGGCTGTGGAGCTGTGGATATAGCTCAGGACAAAGGCCCTGGGTTAAATCCCATGTACTGTACTGTACTGCCAAGAAAAGAAAAGAAAAGAAAAGAAAAGAAAAGAAAAGAAAAGAAAAGAAAAGAAGGAAGGAGAGAGAGAGAGAGAGGGAAAATTGATAGAGGAGGGCTCTAAAATCATAAGAAACCCTGAAACAGGATGGTCCACTTTCTTTTTTTTAAACAAATAATTCCACCGGAAATTCATCTGACATAGGACGATCCTCATGCACTCTGAGGACAAGCCTCTTCCTGTGAACCAGGTGGGGCCACTCCCAAGTCTATGCAGATGCTGTCTAAGTAACCTCAAACTGATCTATAACCTGCCTTGGTTTCCTCTGGAGAAACAGATCACCTGCACCCACTTGGAGACCATGTGAATCTGACCCTGGGCCAACTGGCAAAGTGGAGTCCAAGCTCTAAGAATGACTCGGGATTAGCTCCAGCTGGCCTGGCTCTGGAGGGATCCGGGAACAAGCCTGTGCTTGCAAGGCCTGGGCATTTGTCCACTCTGCTCTCCACCAGCCAGCATCGGGAGAGCCCAGCCACGCTGCTCTGGAGGAAGACCAGTGTACAATATGGAAGAGCAATCAGAAAGAGGAAGGTGGGGGGAGTGCAGGGGGGTCTCAAAGAACCAAGCAGGGAGCAAGGGCCCCTCTGAATGCTAGGCGCAGGGGAATCCTTAAGATTCAAAGACAATCCTGAAGACCCCCC